AAGGGAAAATGTCATGTGCAAAGGTGGAGTTGTGAGATGACATGATGGAGGCAAAAGATCAGGTGGAATGAGCTGTGGCCAGAGGATAAAGTAAAGAGGCAAAGGGCAAATACATCTGAAGGGTCCTGCTGTACTACCCAGTTTGGACTTGGTACCAGGGAAGCCAGGTAGGTGGATACTGACACTGACAGTGTGGCAGGAACACAATTATTAAAGGCAGGAGATCAATTATTAAAGGGAACACAATGAGAAGGGAAATGGACCAGGGGGTTAGCCAAGGGGACGTGGAGCAGGACAGAGAAAAGATGCCAAGCTAAGGCAAGTGTAGTGAAAATGGACTGAGGAGCTCATCTGTGAGCAACATTTCTGCCGTAGAATTGATGGGATTTGGCGGCCAAGGATTTTGGCGACTGAGAGAGGAGGAGGAAGAGGGTGACTCATGTTTCCAGCTTGAGGAACTGGTTGTATGATAATGACACCAGCCCAGACCAGGAGCAAAAGAGGAGCAGCAGGTTGGGGGAAGACAAAACTGCAGGTATGGACGTAGCTCAGTAGGCAGATGAAAATGTGATTTTGACCTCAGGGCTGGACAGATTAATTTGGAAAACATCAGCACACAGGTGACATTTTCAACCTGATAGAATGAGCACATAGTAATAGAGAAGACCAAGAATATAAGCCTAAGGAACCCCGGTGTGTAAGAGATATGCAAGGAGAAATACTTAAGAGATGAGGAGGGAAGTTCAGAGAAGCAGGAAAACCAGAAGTCACTGAGGAGTGCTACTCTAAGGTGTTACCTCAACCCAGCACCCAAAGGTGGGTACAGTCAGCACAAACCTTCATTCTTCTTCGTTCCTCCTTCCCAACCCCAAACCAGGACTAGATAGTGCCCATCTAAAGATTCAAGCCCATCCTACTCTATCGGGTAATTCTCATTTACAGTCTCTGCAAAAGCACAAAGCCAGAAGCTTGGAAGCAAGGCATGGAGTTGGTCCCACTGCTCCACATCCTGAACTGTTTCCACAAGCTTGTCTCCGCTCCTCTCCCGGCAAGCTCCTGCAATCAACCCCGTACCTTAGTCCCTTTTCCTCCATATCTCAGTTCCTGGAGCTGAGTCCTTACGGCAGGCTGCTGAGACAGGAGTCTTACTGTGGAGTTCGGGTTTACCTCTTCCCCAGATCAGTCTTAGATACCTTATCTGTCCTTGCACACTCATTCTGCCAGTGCCTAGAATTATCTTGGCTTCCTGTGAGTCCTAGGTATGAGACTAGTGTGGTGTGTGGGTAGCTCTTGCCAGCAAATAAGCCATTTATAGACTTCCATAATACCACTAGATACTTACAGCTGCTATTTCCTACGATGCTATTCATCAATTCAACCATTCCTTCATTCAGTACAAGCACATGTGCCATGTATTGTTCTAGACAGAGGAAGGCACAGTGAACAAAAGAGAGAATGCACCTTCTCTCCCATGGCTTGTTGTCTAATAAGGAAGGCAGATAACAATTTTAGTAAATAATGCGCCAGGTGGAGAAAAATCAGCCTAGGAACAGGGAGGCTGGAGTGGGGGAGGGAGGCTGCCATTTCACTGTGGCATTCAGGAAAGATATTCCTGAGACAATGACCTTGAACAGAGAAGAGAGAGGGGAGTGAGAGGAGAGGGAGAGGGAGATTCTCAAAAAACATGGTTTTTAGAGGACAAATATTCTGGGCAGTGGGAGTAATGGGAATTGCAAGGTTACCAAAGGCCCTGAGGCTAACTTAGTCTAGTAAGTGAAGAGAAATAAGAATTCCATTGTTGGGTGGAATGTGGCAGGAAAAACCACGAAAAAAACCTTTGGTGATTGAAAATATTTGACATTTCTTCTGAGAAAATGTACTTAATCAGTGGAATTTATATGACCTGTCTTCCATTTCAAAAAGACTATGGTAGCGACCACATTGAGCCTTCAACTATCTTGAGGAGATTGGAGCAGGAGAATATGGGAAGCTGGGGACTATTGAGGGTTTGACAGTAGCAATCCTGGAGAGCTAATGGCACACTGACCAGGTTGCTAGGGATGGGAATAGTGAGAAGTAGCTGGGTTCTGGGTATAACTTACAAGTAGGCTAAGCAGCATCTTCTGATGGTTAGGATATGAGGCAGAAGGAGAGAAGTCAAGGATGACTCCAAGACTTTTGGTCAAAGTGACCTAAATAATGAAGAGCCCTCTGAGGACTAGGAAAGTCACAGGGGTGGGGATCCATTCATGAGGCGGCTGGATTTTGGACATATTGAATCTGAGGTCTCTATGAGACATTCACTTGGGGATTCAAATTGGCCTGTGTCAGGGCAAGTGAAAGCCAAAAAGGAGGATAGTGGCTAAGGAGAAGAATGGGGGGCCAGGATGTTTTTGTTTTTCAAAGGTGAGCACTAGTGAAGTAGGATTTTGTGTGTCTGGCAAGTTTGCCTAAGACACAGGTGAAGATAAAAAGTGGAAAAGGGTAAACTATTGCAGTAGGTGGGGTGTAGGATCTCATACATTGTGAGATTCTGACATTAGACCGAGAGTGGACAGGCCACCCATCTGTAGCAGGAGGGAATGCCAGGTGTTCAAGGACACACGCAGAGAGAAGGCGGAAGTTCTCTTGTGAAATAAGCAGCCAGGTCAGCAGCTGAGAGTGAGAATAGGAGAGGTGTGTCAGGAGGTTTTAACATAAAGCAGAATGTGTGAGATGGTCTTATGGGACAATGATTTTTAAATTCAGCTCATGACCTAACTGTAGGCCTTAAAATCAACTTTGTGATTTTAGCTCAATACAATGACTTAAAAAAATAATTTAAATTGGAATCCATTTCATGTACTAGGAGTAAGAATTGCATAATAAAAGCTTTACTTCAGTTGCATGGGTGTGTGTGGGTTTGAGTGGTAGCAAAAATGTCTCTTAAATGCTTGTCCAGGTCGGCGGGCATAAAATGAATTCTAAGCTATGGAATAAAAATATCAGGGTCCTTACTTAATGGGTCCCCAAATTGACATTTACATTTAAAAGATCACAATACAGACTCTTAAGATCCTGGCATGGAACCTGCTAGAAGTTCCCTACCATTCCTATCCCTTCTCTTCTCTGAACACTCATTACAGGAAAACTTTCTGAGTGTTTTCAAGGACAGGAAACTCACCAGCTTAAAAGTTTTAGATATCAGAAAGTAACTTTAGGATTAGCAGTTTGGTGTACTTAATATGAAGTTTGGCCTTACTATTTAATACTGAATTTATCTCTAAATCTTCAAAGCAATCCAGTACCAGACCACTAAAAAACACTATCTCATTTTAGTTCAAGTAGCCCCAAAAGGCACCATTAGCTTTCAAATGTGTGCTTTTACTTTCCCTAACACTGAGCTAACTTAAATGACTGAGCAGTTTTCTCCTTTTTTCAAATTTGTTATTGGATCCGCAGATAATTCCAATCAAACACAACTTCACCTAGAAAAAAATGCACCCACTTTTAAGACTTTCCCTGCAAAATACATTAGTGGATTATATTAAGAATGCGTCAGTAAATGTTGTAAAAATAGACATTTATGTATTTCTAATGGGCTCCATTTGTCTAGATACTGTAATTTAGAATAAAAGCAATTCTCCAGTTGTTTTGTCTGATTGTTAAAAATGATTTTGAGATTTAGCTCGAATCAATTTTCTATTTACCCAGCCAATTTCTGAACCATTTATGAGGTTTTGTTGCTTTTTGTTTTTTTTAAAAAAGTACCTTTTCCCTACTGTAAAGTTAATATGAAACTTACTTTTAGACAGAATATCACACATAAACATACATGGACCATTTTCCCCTTGTAATGTTCTCTTTCCTCTGTTTATTCTGATTTACACACACTTGAAACACTGAACAGAAGTGGAAACCACATTTAAGAGAATGAGGACTCATATCAATTTGCCATCTGCTTACATCAGAAAGAGTATGCTAACTTACGATATTATTGCTATCTTAGTCTACTTCTAAACCAGTCAAGTCTGAATCAACCTTCCGTAACTCCTGGAATTAGTCTATATGTTTAGGATTCTTTCAGTAGGTTCACTTTTCTAAGCACCAATAAAACAGGTTAAAATTAGAAAACAGGAACGTTAAATTCATATCCTATTATGTAGCATAGGTCACTATTATTCTACATTTTCAATTTTTTTCTCTACGCAAAATGTTTCTATCAAGGGGGAAATGCCAGGACCAGTTCCTCTTCCAGGGCTCCTAAGAGAGCTCTATCAAGAAAAGCTCTCTCCCCTTCCAGTCTGCAAGTCCCAACTAGCCTGCTGCTGAGTCAGAGCCTCCTGTTTCCCTGATGTGCGAACTCTTTCTCCCTTGAAAATTAATAAAGCTTCGGAAATGCTGGGAGGCTCCCGGGCTGGGGCGGAGCGGGGAGCAACCCGGCCGCCGCCACCGCCCCCTCCCCCCACCCGTGACAGCGCCCGGAGCGCGCGGCCGCTACAGCCCGGAGCCCGCCCAGGTTGCCATGGGAGCGCGCCGGGCGCAAAGAGCCAAGCGGGGCCGCGCGGGCGCCGGAGACTTTGTTCCTTGCCGCTGAGTGGAAATGTCAGCTCGGCGGGCGGGGCTCCGCGGCTCCCGGGTGCCCCGCGGAGATCCCTCCGGCTGTGGGAAGGTCGGTGACAGCGCGCGGACCCAGCAGGCGGCCCGGGCGGGACACGGCCCCAGGCCGGCCGGGGAGCGCGCAGAGCAGCGGACGCTCGTCGGCCTCCGGAGCCTCAGTTTCCCCCTCCAGGCCTCACGCGGGCCCGAGGAGAAAGGAAGGAGGCGGGGCCGCGAGGAAGGGGCCGCGCGTGCGACCTGGGCCGACTCCGCCCGGACACCCCGCCGTTGCCGAGGCACCGTCGGGGCCGCCCGCGCGCGCACCCGCCGGCACTGTGAGCGGGCCGCCCCCGCCTCGGAGCGGCCGCTCCTCCCCCACGGGGCGATGCGCCGCTCGCTCCCGCGCGCTCCAGCCGAGCCACATGCTAATGAGGGGCGGGGCAGGGGGCGGGGCAGGGGGCGGGGCGGCATCGCGCCCGCGCGTGCCGGGACGCGCCGCGGGGGGCGGTGCGATTGTGAGGTGGCGTTGACGCACGTTCCGGGGTTCTTAAGCGCCCGCGCCGGCGGGCGGTGGCGGCGCCCGAGCGGGTCTCGGGTGGCGTCGGTGGCCACCGCGAACACCGGCGGGGCCCCCGTGTTCTGTCACAGTGTCCCCCCCTCACTCGCTCCCCTCCGTCCACCACGGCAGCGCCGCCCCAGCTCCGGCTCCTTCCCGGCCAGGCCGGGCACGGGGCGCGTCTCCTCCCGCGACCGCCGGACCGACACCGGCGGGACCTGAGCTTCGGGGCGCCGCACACCGCCGCGCCCCGCCGGTCCCCGCTCGGCACCGCCCCGCCGCCCGCCGCCACGCCCTGCGGCCCGCTCTCGCCGCCGCCTGTCACCGGCTCGGCCGAGGCCGCCTCCCCCTGCGCCGCCGCCGCTTCCTCTTCCTCCCCGCGCCCGGCAGTGCAGGACGCGCCGCCGCGGGGGCTGACAGGGCAGCAGCCGGCCACCGCGGGGAGACTCCCCAGCCGCCAGCCTGGCGGCGGCGGCGCGAACACGGGTGTGACCCACCTCCTCCCCTCCCAGGACTTCAAACCGCGTCTGCACCTCCCCTCCTCCTCCTCCGCCTCCCGCGGCTGCTGCCGCACCTCCTCCCCGCAGGACTTCAGTGAGCGGCGGCAGCAGCAGCTGAGCAGCCAGAAGAGGGACGCGTGCGGCTCTCCCCGCCGTCCCCACCCTCCGGACCCGCCGCCGCCCCGCCCGGC